TATAAATTGACAAAACTGGGTAAAAACCAACCAAGCGTAAGGACCATTTTGAAATCGGGGCGTCATACCTCTCTATTCGACGACATAAGGAATCTACTCCACAATACTGACCAAATAATGAAGACAACTCACAGAAAAATAGGTTGGGCTTACCTGATTTTTGAGGCTACTGGTCAAGAGTGGAAGCACCGACTGTCAAAATCCACGGAGCAATATTCACCACTGTATATGGATCAGGGCTGAAATTCCCAGCAGAGCATGAAACGACAATACTATGTTCGATTGCACCGAAAGCTCCAATAGCAATCGAATCATAATCATAAGGCGGTGCATAACCATCAACACCAACTGAAAGCGAAATTACATCAACACCATCTTCAATAACTTGATCCATTACTGCTAAAATATCTGAATCGTAACACCAGTTCCGTGGCCTTCTGTATCCCTTGGAGACTTCGACTCATTAGACTCTTCCATCGTTGTACCACGAGAAGCTGCGTAGCCTAAATAAAAAGCTCGGGCTCCAATAATTTTCTTGTACAAGCTGTTGTTGGGAAATTCGGGGTAACCACACAACTACCTTTCCATTTTCCCGGAACCGGCTTAAACCCTTCATCGGAAAAACTCTGCCGTTCCAACCAAATCCCAGTATCAAGCACACCAACAATCACATCATCAACATAATCAGAATTAGGCCAGATCCCAAAAGAATCATCTAGGCCAAGAAAGCGTGGAGTACGAGTAGTATGTAAATACCTTGGCCTGTCAGGTATTACAGAGAGAACCCCACGTACATGGCGGATCTTGGCGGCTTGGTCAACGATAAGCCGAGCCAAGAATCCCTGCACGGCGCGGTTGTAGGTGTAAAGAATCTTGGAAGGGTGATGAAGGGTGTCAACAGATCGGTTTGATGGAGGAGTACCAATGATGGTGGGTGGAGAAAATATGGGGCTTGGCAGACTTTGCCACGTGGATGATGAAGGTTTCTCGGCCGTCCGTTGAGAGTGCAGATGGGAGAGAATTAGAGAGAGGATGAAGAGAGAGATAAACGCCATTAATGTAGAGAGGAAGCAGAAGGAAGAAGAAAAAGACTTTGAGAGAGAAAGGTGGGGGGTACCAGGAAGAGAGAGGAAAGAGGAAGAGGGTTGGAGACTTTGAGTTCATTTCCCGTGTTTTTGGAACAGTGACGCGTTTTGGGCCTTTCACCTTGTTTTTGATTGAAAATTCTCAAAACGTGGAAAACCATGTTTTATGTTTTGTGTGTAAAGATTTTTGGCATTTTCAAAAACGTGTTTTCAGAAATAGGAAAAAGAACGGGTTTTCACTGTTTTTGAAAATTGAAAACAGAAAACGGCTTGAAAACGGTAAAGAGAATAGAGCTTAAGGCTATCAAACGGAGTTAGGGAAAGTAATTGCCTAAAAATTGTTTTACGGGGAATTATTAAATAAGTGTGTTTGATTGGTATAATTTTCCACCAGGAAAAATTTTAAAATTTTGCATTCGTTTGACTTTATTTTA